AAAAAAAAAAAAAAAGGTTAAAGCTTCAGTACAATACGGGCAATCATAGAGGACAAAAGTTATAGATGCAATTGTTATTAGCACAAACAATTTTAAGAACCATTTCTCCTTATGTAAGGATAGGTTCGAAGGTCCTGAATTTCGGACGTACTGCAACAATTTTTTAATAGTTGAAGTGAAGTTAAATCCAGCACTTCTCGATCAAATGGCTACATGATAAATACAGTGGACATTCCCACACCTAATTTGTCACACGCAATTTTTTGGTCCCGAATTTACCGCCTGAAGGAACACGTCACATTCCGATTATCCTGTTAAGCAAGCCACGTGAACACCTCATGAAGGCCTATAAATACCCCCCAGGGGCCACCTCAAAAAGGTAATTGAAACCAACCTAAAGCTTCTTTTTCATTAGTCTAGAGGTAGACCGGATTATTGCTGACTTAAGTATCCGAGTGTCTACCCCGAGGACCCACATCGGGGCTTTGCAGGTTAATCTGAAATGAAGATGCGGACTGAAGAAGGATCTTTGGTTTGGTGCAATTACATTGGCACCGTCTGTGGGAATCCAAACTAAAGGCTTTCTTGTTGCTTCCTCATCATGGTCAACACTCGATCAGTCTGAGTTGGAAATCAAGTTCAACCTCTCGGACAAGGTCAACTCCCCAACAACTTTCCACCTCACCTCTCACCTCAAATCCCAAACCTATTCCCTCATGTTGAACATGCAGAAGGAGGAGATGAAAACCAACCTCACAATTCAACCCACAACTCAGCTTCCACTACTAATCACGGAGATGTAGTTACAGCTCAACTTGCTGCCATGCAACAGCAACTCGGTGTTTTTCAATTAGTTTTGGCTCAACTCCTAACTCGGAATAATCCTGGCGATCCTCTCATCAACCTACTCAACCCTATTCAACAATCCCCTGTTCAACAGCAAGACCCTTAACCAGTTCAACATGCTCCTACTTTTAGTGAGTCTCAGGGTCAATCTCACGTAGCCCCAGCTCAGCAACCTTTACCCGATGATGTCACACGACATCTGGACAGTTTAGAAAAACTGGTAGCCGAGCAATGAAGTGCCCCACCTCCACACCACAACATTGATTCTATACCTCATCCTCTAAACACTAATATTACATTGGAACCTTATTCTACTGTTTTCAAGATACCTCAACTCGAGACATATGATGGGATGAAAGATCGAGATGATCACCTCCATGCCTTCTACTCCTGTATGCAAGCTCAGAATGCTTTTGATGCATTGAGGTGCAAAATCTTTCCCTCCACTCTTCGTGGTAATGCTCGAACCTGGTATTATAGTTTGCCCCCGAGATCTATCAATTCCTATTCAGAAATGGCATCTGCTTTTGCCATAAAGTTTTCCAATAGAAGGTTGATTAGGAAAACCACTTTTGAATTGATGCGAGTCAAACAGAGGGAAGGAGAATCTCTGAAGAATTACATGAGCTCGTTCAACGATGCAGTTCTCGAAGTCAGCTTATTTAACCAAGCCATGGGAATTGCGGCTGTAATTCAAGGTCTCCAACACGAGAGATTCAGAGATAGCTTAATCAAGCATCCTAGTGCTACTTTTAATGAAGTTAATGACAGATCATTAAAATTCATAACTGCTGAGGAATATGCTTTATCCCAGAAACCAGTTCTTCCCAAGAATCAAAATCCAGATTGGAGAGATGAAGGTCAAAGCAGAAAGCGGATGAAGACAATGCAAAACCGAGGTTCAATGTCGGCCTCTACAATGAGATTCGGAAAGCCAAACTCACCTCCCCTCCAGCAAAATATCAGTAAAGCACCAGTTACATGGACTGCTTTCAATCTGCCGAGGTTGCAGATATTCATGTAGATCAAGAATAAGATGGATTTGAGGTGACCAGGGCCAATGAGAAGTTCTGCTGCTACACGTGATCATACTACATACTGTGATTTTCATCAAGATCATGGTCATACAATGGAGTAGTGCAATAGTCTGAGGTCCGACTTGGAAAGTCTAGCTCAGAAGGGAATGCTGAATGAATATATCCAGCGAACCGAGCAACCGAAGTTTGTTAGAGAACAGGGGCCACAGCCACAGGGATCTCGTAACGCAGGTAACAAACAAGGCGTGGGATTTCAACAAGTCCCACCACTCCCACCACCAGCCAGAATTATACATATGATTACAGGAGGTTTGGAAGCAGGGGGTTTGATCTCCAAACAAAGAAAACTATATGTCAAGGAGGTGAAGCACCACAACCAAACTCAGAAACGAAAGTTTGACGATGCTGACTAGAAGAATCAACCCATCACTTTCACATATGTTGAGTTTGATACAGTTGTCACACCTCATAATGATCCTTTGGTCACTTTCGTTATGATTAACAACTGTAAAGTACAACGTGTCCTTGTTGACACTGGGAGTGCACCAGATATTATGTACTTTCATTATTGTGAAAGTCTCAGGCTGGATCCAACTTTGTTGTAGAGGTACGATGGTCCCATCTATGGATTCAACAACTAACTTGTTCAAGTAGAAGGAGTCCTTACTCTCAACGTTGCTTTTGGGAGTGGCCGAACTTATGTTATCCCTTCAGTTTGGTTTCTAGTTGTCAAAATGGCATCCTTTTTCAATGTTGTTATCAGACGACCCACACTAATCGAGATTCGAGCTATGATCTCTCAATCTCACCTTTGCATTATTGTACCTATGATTTTGATGATTACAAAACACATTTGAGTGACTAATTGATTTATTTAAGTGTGTAGTTAAATTGCCAATATATTGCAAAGTAAGCAAAATGAGATTGCATTAAAAAGGGCTCAAAGGGTAAAAATATGCAGAGAGTCGGCTGTAGATTTTGTTGAGCCGACTCTACAGGCAAAAAATTCAACTGGTGTTTTTGGCGCGCGTGGAAAATGGAAGTAGAGCCGGCTCCAACTTTGTAGCCAGCTATGAGGGCGCATTTAATGCACAACGGTCGACTTATTTGAAGAATATTTAATGTATTTAAAGTCGGAGTTCCAAAGTCGGCTCAAAGTTTTGCAATCGGCTCAAAGTTTTGCAGTTAGCTCTCGAGAAAAACAGAATGTGCAAGAATCCTGCAAAGCCGGCTGTAGAAATGGTGAGCTGGCTATGCAGAGCCCGCTCTAGGAAGTTAAGCCGGCTCTCCTGACAATCCTGCAACTCGAGTTTCGCGTCCTACAGGGCATTTAATGACCCCCAACGGCTAGAAACAACTATTTTCGAGCAAGGGGCTATAAATATGGTTGGTAACAGATCTGAAGAAGTTTAGAGAACATTGCATTGAATATCTTTACCTACCTACTTGAGCTTTAACTTGAGTTTTTGATATTTGAGTGATCATTGATTGTAATCCTCTTCTTGTTCTATTAGTGAGTGATTTTGGGGGTGTGTTGATTCCTTCAAGAGTGATCTATTGAGAGGATTTGTGGGGTTTACATTGTAAATGAGTGAGGTTTGAGAGAAATACTCATCTTGTTGTAAAAGGATTGAGTGGCTCCTTTAAGCCATCCTTGTCTTTCTTAGTGAAGAGTGTGGAGGAAATCCTTGGTGAGTGAAGCCAAGGTAGAGGACTAGGTTCCAAGTGGTTGGACCAAACCTCTATAAATTCATTGTGCAAGCTCTTCTTTTTTACTCTCTTTAACTTGGGTTTTGTGGTTGAAAAATGAGAGAATTTTTGGAATTCCAATTCACCCCCCTCTTGGAGTACATTGAGTCAACAATTGGTATTAGAGCAAGGGCTCCAATTTGAAGGTTTAACCACCTAGGAGTTGATTGGGAATGGCTCAATTTCTATCTTCTCAACCACTTGAAGGTTTGTCTACCACTAAGCCTCCTTTCTTTGATAGTACTAATTATAATTATTAGAAGAATAGAATGAGGGTCTTCATGCTTGCAAATGTGCCCAAGGCATGGGTTGTGACTATAAAAGGTCTATATGTACCTATGAAAATTGTTGGAGAAAGAGAGGTGCCAAAGGAAGAGATTGATTGGAATGATGAAGACTTGGAGAGGATCATGATCAACAACAAGGCAATTAGTATGCTTCAATGTGCTCTCAATCCAACGGAGTATCATAGAGTCTTCGGGTGTGATACGGCTAAGGAGATGTGGGACATGCTAGAAGTCACTCATGAAGGAACAAGCCAAGTATCATGAAGGAACAAGCCAAGTAAAGGAGTAAAAAATCAATAGACTCATTTACATGTATGAGCTTTTCAAGATGAAACCGGAGGAGAGCATTCAAGATATGTATACAAGATTGAATGATATAGTCACCAATCTCAAGGCTTTTGGTAAAGTCTATCCTCCTCAAGAAATGGTGAGAAAGGTTCTTAAAAGCTTGCCTAAGAGTTGGGAAGCCAAGAAGACCGTAATTGAAGAATCCAAGGATCTCAACACTCTCAAGCTTGAAGATCTCATTGGAAAATTGATGACATATGAGATAGAGGTTCAAGGTGATGGTGGAATTGAAATAGTTGAGAAGAAGAAGAAGGATGTTGCATTCAAGGTTAGCAACCAAAAGGAAAAGAGTGAAGATGATGGTAGTGATGGTGAAAACTTCTCCTCCTTAATCTCTAGAGAAGTGAAGAGATTTATGAAGAAGAACATCAAGAGCAAGATTGCAAGAAGAGATGAAGGAGAATCTACCAAAAAGAGTGTGAAATGCTATGAATGCAACAAGATGGGGCACTATAGAAATAAATGCCCCAAATTGAAGAAAGGTGAGAAGAAAGACAAGAAAAGCATGAAGAAGAAAGCATTTGCTGCCACTTGGAGTGATGATGAGACTAGCTCAACGGAAAGTGAAAGCTCCTTGGAGAAAGGTGTTGTAAATCTTTGCTTCATGGCTCAAGAGGATAGAAACAATGATGAGGAGGTAAACTCTAACTTTTCTAGTTCAATTAATGAAAGTTCCTTTGAGTATTCTTATGATGATTTATGCAAAGTTCTTGATTGCTCTATGAATGATATTAAGAGACTAGGGAATGAGAATCTTACTTTTACTAAAACTATTTCATTACTTAGAAATGAGATTGAATCTCTTTCAAAACAAAATGAAATTTTAGTTAAAGAAAATGCTTCTTTAAATGGTGAGATTGCTTCTTTAAAGAATGAGAAAGTTAATGATGCTTTGGAAAAGGAAAATGAGAATTTAAGGAAGGAAAATGAGGATGCAAGGAAGGAAAATGAGGATTTAAAGAAGAAAAATGAGGATTTAAAGAGAAAAACTTGTGATCTTGAAAATGTGATTTCCAAATTTACTTTGAGTAAAGAAAAATTTGATTCTATCTTAAAATCTCAAACAAATGTTTATGACAAAGAGGGCATTGGATTTGATTATTCTAAAAAGCAAAAGACTTTTAAGATAACCTTTGTAAGAGCAAGTCAATCCTATCATCCTAATATTACTTGCTATTGTTGTGGTGCAAATGGACACTTTGCTTATGCTTTTCCTTTAAAAAGATTAATAGCTCAAGGTAAAGTGAAACAAATTTGGGTTTCAAAAGGAACCATAAAAACTAACCCCCAAGGACCCAAACAAATTTGGGTACCTAAGATCAAAAATTGATTTTTGTTGTGTAGGTGTGCCTTGTGAGCAAAATGAAGAACAAATAGTATCTAGATAGTGGATGCTCAAGGCACATGACGGGTGATCCTTCACAATTCTCATCAGTCATGCCCTTGGATGGTGGAACCATGACCTTTGGTGACAATGGGAAAGGAATTGTGAAAGGAACTGGTAAAATTGGTAACAAATCTATTTCTTTTGATGATGTTTGGTATGTGGATGGATTGAAGCATAACTTGCTTAGTATTAGTCAATTATGTGATCGCATGCTTAATGTTGTATTTTTCAAATCTCATTGCAAGATTATTGATTCTAGAAATGATCAAGTGTTGTTTGTTGGCAAGAGACTTAAAAATGTGTATGTGATTGATTTGCATGACATTGATGCTAATATTTGTCTTGCCTCTATATCTCATGATGATACTTGGTTGTGACATAGAAGATTAGGACATGCTAGCATGAGTATTATCTCTAAGTTATTAAAGCATGATCTTGTTGATGGCTTGCCTAAGGTGAATGTAAATATTGATAGTGTATGTGATACATGCATGAAGGGTAAGCAAACTAGAGTTTCCTTTAAGACTAAGAAGTGCATTTGTACAAATAGACCTCTTGAGTTACTTCATATGGATTTGTTTGGACCTATGCGCACTCTAAGCATTGGAGGAAAATCATATGTGCTTGTTGTAGTTGATGACCATTCTAGATTTACATGGGTTGCTTTTCTTGCACATAAAAATGATGCACTTGATGCTTTCAAATGTCTTTATAAAAAGCTTCAAAATGAGAAAAGTTTAACTATTGTTTCTATTAGAAGTGATCATGGGGGAGAATTTGAAAATAATGACTTTGAAGATTTTTGCATTGAACATGGTATTGATCATAATTTTTTAGCCCCTAAAACTCAACAAAATGGGGTGGTTGAACGAAAAAATCGTACTATTGAGGAAATAGCAAGGACTATGATTTGTGAGAATGATTTGCCAAAATCCTTTTGGGCCGAAGCCGTTGCAACCTCTTGTTATTTGTTGAATAGAGTTATGGTAAGGCCTATTCTTAATAAAACCCCCTATGAAATTTACAAAGGAAGAAAACCTAAGATTTCCTATTTTAGAGCTTTTGGTTGTAAATGCTTTGTTTTGAACAATGGAAAGGACTCTCTTGGAAAATTTGATTCTAAAAGTGATGAAGGCATCTTTGTTGGATACTCTATTTCTAGTAAAACTTACCGTGTGCATAATAAACGTACTAAAGTTGTTGAGGAATCTATTCATGTGGTATTTGATTAGACTAACCCTATTTGCTTTAGAAAGTCTTGTAATGATGATGATGTAGATGCCATTGGAAAACAAATAATAGATATAAATCTCAAGGAGGACAACACCAAGGAAGCTCAAGATGAGAAAAATGAGGAGGACAAACATGAAGAAGTGCAACAACACATGAGCTAAGAGAACCAACTTTCCCAAGAGAAAGATCCTATGTCAAAGGTAATGAAATTCTTGGAGATCCATCAAAAGGGGTAATTACTAGATCTCATGCTCATAATACTTGTGCTTTCATTGCTTTTATATCTCAAATTGAACTAAATAATCTTGATGATAGTTTAAATGATCCTAATTAGGTGATGGCTATGCAAGAAGAATTAGCTCAATTTGAAAGAAATAAGGTTTGGAATCTTGTTTCTAGACCTAAAGACCATCCCATCATAGGAACTAAATGGGTTTTTAGAAATAAGTTAGATGAGAATGGAATTGTGGTTAGAAACAAGGCAAGACTAGTTGCTAAAGGCTATTGTCAAGAGGAAGGAATTGATTTTGATGAGACTTTTGCCCTGGTAGCTAGACTTGAAGCAATTAGAATGTTATTGGCTTTTGCATGCTTTAAAGGTTTTACACTTTATCAAATGGATGTTAAAAGTGCTTTTCTAAATGGTTATATTCAAGAAGAGGTTTATGTTGAGCAACCTCTCGGTTTTGAAGATTCATCTTATCCAAACCATGTTTATAAACTTTCAAAGGCTTTATATGGCTTAAAACAAGCTCCTAGAGCTTGGTATGAAAGATTAAGTAGTTTTTTGCTTGCAAATGGTTTTTCTAGAGGAAGAGTTGATACCACCTTATTTGTGAAAAACAAAGGCCAAGATATATTAATTGTCCAAATCTATGTTGATGATATTGTGTTTGGTGCTACTAATGATTTTCTTTGTCAAGAGTTTTCCAAAGCTATGCAAGGTGAATTTGAAATGAGCATGATGGGTGAGCTCAACTTCTTCTTGGGACTTCAAATCAAACAATCCAAAGAAGGCATCTTCATTAACCAAAGCAAGTATACAAAGGAAATGCTTAAGAAGTTTGGCATGGAGACTTGTAAGCCAATAGCTACTCCTATGAGCACTTCAATTAATCTAGACAAGGATGAAGGAGGTAAGCCTATTGATCCCAAACTTTATAGAAGCATGATTGGTTCCTTGCTTTATTTAATCGCAAGTCGACCAGATATAATGTTTAGTGTTTGTTTGTGTGCTAGATTGCAAGCTTGTCCTAAGGAGTCACACTTAATTGCGGTTAAAAGAGTCTTTAGGTACCTAAAGGATACTCCCAACCTTGGTTTATGGTATCCTAAGGGTTCTTCCTTAGACTTACATTCATATTCAGATGCGGACTATGCGGGTTGTAGGATTGATAGAAAAAGTACAAGTGGAACTTGTCAATTTTTTGGTAATATGCTTATATCATAGTTTTCCAAAAAGCAAAATAGTGTTGCTCTATCTACAACCGAGGCCGAATACATAGCCGCCGCAAGTTGTTGCGCTCAAGTGTTGTGGATGAAACAACAAATTTTGGATTTTGGCATTACTGTGGATCATATTCCTATTAAATGTGACAATATTAGTGCTATCAATCTCACTAAAAATCCCATTCAACATTCTCGCACCAAGCACATAGAAATTAGGCACTATTTTATTAGGGATCATGTTGCTAATGGTGATGTTGATTTATTATTTGTTGACACTAAAAATCAATTAGCTGATATTTTTACAAAGCCTCTTGATCGTGATAGGTTTTTCTTTATTAGAAATGAGTTTGGTATGTTAGATCCTAGTGCTTGATATGATTCTTGAAATTAATGAATATGCTTATTAGAAATTGTGCATATTGATTACTTTGATGTGTATCTTGATTATATTCAGGATATTTGATGATGCATACATTGATATATGACTAAAGTTGCATTATTTAGTAGTTGATGTCCAATTTAAACTTAGTTAAATGAAGAAATATCAAATTAAGATGCATTGTCTTCCAAACAGCCCCAAACCTTTTACTTGTTCCAATCAAGGCCAGTAGAGCCGGCTCAACCTTCTTCATAGCCGGCTCAACCCAAAAACCCGAGAGTCTTCTCTCTCTAGAGTTAAGCCGGCTCCAGGACTATAGCCGGTTCTCTTGCAGCTTTTTAAATCATTCGGGTTTCTTTCTCCCTGCACAAACCAGCCCAAATCTGTCTTCAACCCATGACCTCTCCTCTCCCAAAACTTGCCATTCACTCTCTCAACCACCAAAATCCCTCCAAATCTCCAAAGCCCATCCCTTAAACACTCAAATACCATCAAATCCTTACCTACCCAACACAAAACCTCAAGCTTTTCACTTCAATTTGTGTGGGATCTGCTGTATTTTTCGTGTGGCTGCTGGGATTTCTCTCTCATGGCTTCAAGAAGGGCTGGAAGTAAAAGGAAACAAGTGGGTAGTTCTAGCACCGGTGGTCAAGCTCAAGAAGAAGGTAACATCTCCCAATCAAATCTCTTTTTGGATACCCAAGCTTCTGCAAAGTATGAAGTTATCAAGAATATGGTTGTTTTATCTTGCAATTGTGTGAAATTCAGTCAATTTCCTCAAGGAGATATGCGTGTTGAACAAATGTTTAGGGAACTTGGGTGGAAGGATTATGTAGAAATTAAAGAGCATGTGTACTATGAAGTTGTTCATCAATTTTATGCTAATTTGAAACCAAGAGGGAATAAATGCAAAACTATGGTTGCTGGGGTCTCATTTCAGTTTTCACCAAGGGATATTTGTGCTGTATTAGATATACTTGAAGGAGGAGATGATGAGTTTCGAGATGTGAATCATGCCTTAGTTAGAGCAAGAATTGCCCCTAATTGCACTGAAAATCAAATTAAAGTGGGGTCCCTTACACCAAAAAATAGGGCTCTACAGTGGATTATATCTCGCATTATAGCTCAGAGAAAGGGGTTAAAATCTTTTGTACTTGCTAGTGATCTTCCCTGGTTCGACTATCTTCTTAATGGAAAAAGGGTGAATCTTGGAAGATTCATTTTCCAGAGCTTAGTCAAGAATTACTCCTCGGATATGGGTCTTCTGCATGGTGCATTGATCACTAGGTTAGTAAAGAGGAACAACATTGATCTTGAATCTTTTAAGCATGGGAGAATTAAAGCTGGGACCATTCTCACTAAAGCATCCTTTGAAAAAATGCAAGTTGTGTTTCGGAATGGTAGTTGGATGAAGAAAGGGGATCAAGTAATGGAACAGCAAGCTGATGAAGAAGAAGGTGATACAGATCAAGAAATGGCAGAGCAAAGGGAAGAAGAACATGAAGATGACAGCCCAAGACCTTTTCAAGCCTCCATGTAAAGGACAAACCGTAAAACCATGGAGCTAATGATATTTGAGATGCGGCAGCTGCACACCGACTTTTATGGTTTCCGGACAGAAATGAGAGGAAGAATGAATAACGTGGAAGGAAAGCTTGATCAACTTGTTAACCATTTTTTTCCTCCACCCCCACCTAGTGGTCCCTAACTTGATATTTCTTTAGTTTGGCTAATCTTTAGGATGGACATCTTAGGGTTATGCATTTTATGTTTAATTGACTATGGATATTTCTTGAACCTTTCTATCTTGTTTTATGAATGGAAATGACATCACTTGTGTTATCATGCTTTGTGAATGGTTGTTTATGATTTTGATGATTATATGCTCTTATTGAGGGGGAGTTTATTGGTTGATGATTGTATTCATGACTTTGGTTGTCTATGGTGCTATATTGATGATGATTGATGATTATATTCATTACATATTCTTGATGCTTTAAAGGTTGATAGCATGAATTAAGGGGGAGTTTATTGCTTATGTTTATATGCTTTTTTATGAATGACAAAAATGGGGAGAAAGTATGCTGAATTCTCATAATTTTTTGGAATGTCTTAATGTCATTTTCCTGATGCTGAAATTTTGAGGTTAATATTGAAGTATGTATGCTTTCATGATCAAAGTGTTTTGTCATCATCAAAAAGGGGGAGATTGTTGTACCTATGATTTTGATGATTACAAAACACATTTGAGTGATTAATTGATTTATTTAAGTGTGTAGTTAAATTGCCAATATACTGCAAAGTAAGCAAAATGAGATTGCATTAAAAAGGACTCAAAGAGTAAAAATATTCAGAGAGCCGGCTGCAGATTTTGTTGAGCCGGCTTTACAAGCAAGAAATTCAACTGGTGTTTTTTGCGCGCGCGAAAAATGGAAGCAGAGCCGGATCCAACTTTGTAGCTGGCTATGATGGTGCATTTAATGCACAACGGTCGACTTTTTTGAAGAATATTTAATATATTTAAAGTCGGAGTTCCAAAGCCAGCTCAAAGTTTTGCAGCAGACTCTCGAGAAAAACAGAACGTGCAGGAATCCCGCAAAGCCGGCTGCAGAAATGGTGAGCCAGCTGTACAGAGCCGGCTCTAAGAAATTAAGCCGGCTTTCCTGACAATCCTGCAACTCGAGTTTCGCGTCCTGTAGGGCATTTAATGACCACTAACAGCTAGAAATGACTATTTTCGAGCAAGGGGCTATAAATATGGTTGGTAACAAATCTAAAGAAGTTTAGAGAACATTGCATTGAATATCTTTACCTACCTACTTGAGCTTTAACTTGAGTTTTTGATCTTTGAGTGATCATTGATTGTAATCCTCTTCTTGTTCTATTAGTGAGTGATCTTGGGGGTGTGTTGATTCCTTCAAGAGTGATCTATTGAGAGGATTTGTGGGGTTTACATTGTAAATGGGTGAGGTTTGAGAGAAATACTCATCTTGTTGTAAAAGGATTGAGTGGCTCCTTTAAGCCACCCTTGTTTTTCTTAGTGAAAAGTGTGGAGGAAATCCTTGGTGAGTAAAGCCAAGGTAGAGGACTAGGCTCTAAGTGGTTGGACCGAACCTTTATAAATTCATTGTGTAAGCTCTTCTTCTCTACTCTCTTTAACTTGGGTTTTGTGGTTGAAAAATGAGAGAATTTTTGGAATTCCAATTCACCCCCCTCTTGGAGTACATTGGGTCAACATGCATGAAATTCTCAACTCCTATGGGGATAGCAACACTACGAGGTAACCAAGAGGCGGCTAGACATTGTTGTATTACCTCGGTTATAAGGCCTCAGAAAGGCAAAGACTAGACACCAGAAACCATTCCCCAGTGAGTTCATGATAATCAGCAACTAATGGAGTTGAGATAGTAGACAATTGACCTAAAGATGAAACCAAAGCTACCCCAGTTGAGAATGTAAAGGAAGTGCATATTGATGACAGAGATCCAAGCAGAAAGACACAAATTGGAACTCGGTTGAGCTCAAAGGAAAGACTAGAGCTAATAGCTTTTCTTCGAGCTAACAACGATGTCTTCGTTTGGACTTCAGCAGACATGCCAGGAATTCCAACCTCGGTATCTCAGCATAAGTTCAACACCAATCCATTGAAGAAACCAATAGCCTAGAAGCAACGTCTCTTTGGGGGAGAAAGGCTTCAGGTTATAAAAGAAGAAGTCAAAAAACTCCTGCAAGCTGGTTTCGTCAGAAGGGTTGATTATTGTGAATGGGTGGCCAACCCGATGTTGGTCAAGAAGGTACATGGTAAATGGCGAATGTGCATGGATTACACAAATCTCAACCAAGCTTGTCCCAAAGATTATTATCCAATGCCAAGCATTGGCAAACTGGTTAAAGCGGCTTCTGAAAATGAGAGATTAAGTCTCTTGGATGCATATTTTAGTTACCACCAAGTGCCGATGGCTCCGGAAGATAAAGAGAAAACCTCGTTCTATGCAGGTGATGAAATTTACTGTTATGTTATGATGCCCTTTGTCTTAAAGAACGTAGGTGCCACTTACTAGAAGATGGTGACCATCATATTCTGAGCTCAGATTGGCAGGAACCTAGAGGTTTATGTGGACGACATTGTGGTGAAGAGTTTGAAGGCAGAAGATCATCTAGTTGATCTCGATGAAACATTCAACAACCTTAGAAAGAATAGAATGCGGTTAAACCCAGCCAAATGCATCTTCAGTGTCGAGTCTGGGAAATTCCTGGGCTTCATGGTTTCTCGAAGAGGGATTGAGGTTAACCCAGAAAAAATCAGAGTAATAACCGAGATGGAACCACCGAAGTCAGTGAAAGACATATAGAGATTAATTGGGAGGGTGGCAGCTCTTCATAGATTCATATTGAAGTCAACAGATAAGTGCCTACCATTCTTCAAGATCATGCAGTCAGCAGCCCAGAAGGATGAATATGGCAAACAGAAGAAGTTTGAATGGAACCAAGAATGCCAAGCTGCATTTGATGAGCTGAAGTCTTATCTTAGCTTACCACCTCTGCTGACTAAGGCTATTGATGGAGAAATTCTCTATTTGGACCTTGGTATTTCAAATGAAGCAATCAGTTCAGTGCTTGTGAGAGAAGAAGGCAAACAGCAGAAACCAATTTATTATATCAGTAGTGTGCTGCACGGAGTAGAACTGAGGTACCCTATTGTTGAGAAAGCAGCACTAGCAGTTGTCACTTCGGCTAGAAAGCTGAGGCATTTTTCCAGTCACATCCAATTATCGTTTTCACAGACCAACCTCTTCGACAGATCCTGCAAAAGTTGGAGTGCTCCGGAAGGTTAGTTAAGTGGGCAGTAGAACTGGGGGAATTCGAGATAACATTTTAGTAGAAGTCTGCGATCCGAGCCCAAGCATTGGTAGATTTCATTGTGGAATGCACCCCATGTCACTCAAACCCTAACCCTGAGCCGAGCAACTGGATCTTATATGTTGATGGAGCATCTAGTAGCAAGGGTTCAAGAGCTAGTGCCTTCTTAATTGGCCCAGAGGGATATCGAAGTGAGCATGCTTTGAAGTTTAACTTTGATGCAACTAATAACATGGCTGAATATGAAGCTCTGCTACTTGGTTTACAACTTGTGTTAGAGCTGAAAGTCATGGCCATAAGAGTTTACAGTGACTCGCAGCTTGTGGTGAATCAAGTCAACTCAGTCTGTGAAGTTGTTGATCCTGTCATGATGAAGTATGTAGCTCTGGTGGCCGAACTGAAGTGTAGGCTTCAGAAGTTTTGTTTGAGCAAAATTCCCAGAAGTGAGAATGAACAGGCAGATTCACTTTCTAAGTTTGCCTTTGATAGCTCCATAAGCTCCAGATTAGTTTTTGTGGAAGTTTTAGATGAACCGAGCTTTGTGAAACCAAGAATAATGGAGATCAGCACAAACCCGGATACACCGAGCTGGACAAATCCAATTGTCTCCTTTTTACGAGACGGGTTAATGCCTGAATATAAGCAAGAAGAGATGAGGTTGAGGAAGAAAGTGTCTTTATACAAACTCGTTAATGGAGTCCTCTATAAGAGATCTTTCTCACTTCCTCTCCTACGATGCCTGAATCCTTATGAAGCAGAGTACGCACTTCGGGAGGTACATGAAGGTGTGTGTGGAAGTCACATTGGAGCTAGAACCCTGGCTCACAAAGTCCTCAGACAAGGATATTACTGGCCGAATGTGTACAAGGATGCTACCCACTTTGTAAAAAGATGCCCGAAGTGCCAATTCTTCGCACATTTGACTCACCAACCAGCAGAAGAGCTAACCAACTTGGTAGCACCGTGGCTGTTTGCTCAGTGAAGGCTTGATCTTTTAGGCCCATTCGTGAAAGGGGTTGGTGGTGTAACACATCTGATAGTTGGTGTTGATTATTTTACGAAATGGGTTGAAACTCAGCTATTATCTAGTCTTACCTCCAGAAAGGTCGAAGACTTCGTTTTCAGCTCAATCATCTGTCGATATGGAATCCCAAATCAAATTGTACCTGATAATGGAACTCAGTTTAACTACTTTTCGTTTAGAGATTTCTGCTCCAGTTACGGGATCAAACTATAGTTCACCTCCGTTTACCATTCGGAGTCCAATGGTATGGTTGAATTTGTCAATAAAGCTATCATGGAGGGAATAAAGCTGAGGTTGGAGCAGCATAAGGCCAGGTGGGTAGACGAGCTTAACAACGTCTTCTGGGCATATAGAACTACATGTCGAACTGCCACAGGTACTACTTCCAACCTAGGTTACTTTCATTCTATTCTATTTTATTTTCTCATCTACGGCTTTACCCTAGATCAAATATGCATAATATATAAAGCATATTCTGAAAAATATAACTTAATGAAATAGGTGAAACACCCTATCACCTGACCTTTGGTACCAAAGCAGTAATTCCTATTGAAATAGGAGTCCCAAGCCTCCGGGTCACCAATTTCGATGAAGGATGAAATGGACAATTGCTTCGAGAGAACCTTGATTTGCTTGCCGAAGTCAGAGAAGAAGCACGACTTCGAACTCTAGTATACAAGCAGAAATTAGCCAACTTCTACAACAAACGAGTCCGCCCTTGAACATTCTAAGAGACCTTGTTCTCAGAAAGGCTGGCCTAACAAGGTTTGAAACTCGTTTTGGCAAACTGGTCCTGAACTAGGAAGGCCCTTATATAGTGGCCAAAGTGCCACATCCTGGTGCCTATATCCTTCAAGACGCTGAAGGGAAGAGAGTTCCTAGAGTCTGGAATATCAATAACTTGAGGAAATTTTACCCTTAATAAACTTCCTTCAAATGATCAATGTCTCATTCTTCTTTATAGTTATTACTTCTTCATTTTTTAGATTCATTTCATCTCTTATTCTGTATACCCGAGGCCAATCTGTTTGAAGTTTATTCATTGGACTTCACTTTTATTAATGAATTTCGCTTCGCATACGAAGTGATTTAGTTTTTCTCAGTTCATATCTGAAGTGATTTACTTCTTCTCAATTCATATCTGAAGTGATTTATTTCTTCTCAGTTAATATCCGAAGTGATTTACTTTATCTAAGTTTTTATGACTAATATAAAATAAATAAAGCACAAAAGCAAGTATTACACATAAATTCAAAAACAAAACTTTTCATTAAAATCACAATGAAAATTACAAACTGTTCAAATTATCAAATTGTTTCAATATTATCAAAACAAAAATATCAAAAAACAAAAATTCCTCATTCTTTTGCTGGAGGAGGTGGCTGAGGTGGCTGCTGCTCGGTTCGAAGAGGTGGCTGCTCGTCATCAGAAGGAACTGGATGGACCTCCACTTGCAGAGGTGGCTGACTCTCATCCACTTCAGTTCCTTTTACCTTTGCTCCTACTTCAGCTCCCTTTACCTCTGCTTCTTCTTCCTCCACTGCCACAAACTCGAAGTCGAAGTTCGGAGGAAAAACGGTGCGCCCTTGTACATCACGATCCCACCTCAGTTTAATTTGAGGACGAAAGTTTGCTGACATGCTTTCACCGTTTTCCTCCACCTCCTCTTCTTGTTTGCCGAAGGTGATCTTCGTAATATTCACTTCGGGATATTCAGCTTTCACTTTCTTTCTGCAATCGGTGAAGGCGAGAATAGCAGTTGGCAGCCGGTAGAGGTTGACAATGTTGTCAAACGAGCTGGAGTTGACGAAGTTGCTGATATGCTCCTCCATCCCGTTGTGTACCAGCAACTGAACATTTTTCTTCAACTCAACCACAACTTCCTTCATTGCTTTTATTTCCTTCTCTTGAGCCTCGCGCTCGATTTTAGAGATCTTTCTCTTTTTCTCTTCAAAGACGAGCTTGGTACTTAGAGAATCCCTCTTCTCCTCAAGCTGCTTCACTGTTGGTACCACCTCATCCAGTGCCTCTTGCATATCCTTGTTCTTTTTCTCTAGCTCCTCCTTCTCCTTCTGTAGCTGCTCACATTGCCTTTGCAAGAGGGAGCGATCCTTCACGCTCTCCATAAACTCTTGGGCCAGAGCGTTCACCTAGCTTGCACTTTGCAATTCCAGCAGAAGTTAAAAAAAAAAAAAAGCAACAACAAAACACCAACAATTACATCTAAACCAACTTAACATACCTCCAGGGCATGCTTCACCACAATCGCCCCACAATACCTCAGCACCTCCTCCCTAGCTTAACGCTTGTCCACTTCGGGAAAGGTTGCATTGATAAACCTTCTTGCCCCTGTTGAGTTCTTCGCGTCAAAGAGGCTGCTCTGAAAAGACAACTGGGGAACGAGGCCTTTCCCTTTACCAGGAGCCCTTACCCCAGCCCCCTCAGCCTCAGACTCCTTGAGCTCAGGATCGAGCTCAACAAGAGGGGGCCGAGGTATGAACTGTAGAACCTCGCTCCCCCTAACCTCCTACTCCACCACCTTTTTCTTCCTCTGCAGCACTCCCAACTCCTCACTACCCTTCCTTTTCAGCTCTGGCTTAAGTCTCACCTCCTTAACTCCAGTTGAGGTGCTAAGCACTAACTCCTTCCTAGCCTCCACCTCATTCGCCTTCTTGGTTGAAGTCTTTGACTTCTTCCTTGACTTCTTTGGAATAGCCACCCCCCAGTAGCATTCAAAAATTTATCCATCTCAGCTGCAAAACAACATAAACCAAACGTGTCAACAATACAACTTTCTGTCCCACATCAAGCACTACAATGCAAAATACAAACAAACCTTCACTCAAAGCGTTTGGCCCACAAAGCTCAGCAGCCTCTATACAATCCGCAATGGTGAGGTACATTATGTTCACTAAATTACCCCCCTCCCTCACCAACTTCTCCACCTCTTCCTCCTCATCCTCATTTAAACTATATTTATTTTGGTTGGCTTTCTTAGCCTTCCAAGATGACAACAGTTCTACTTTGGCATCCCCTCTTTCCCACTCAATGTCATCTACAAAGAAAAATTTCTCCTTCCATCCTTTAATGGATGAAGGACCCATTGTAAATAAACTCCTACTCTCCTTATTTGATACTTTAGGGGTGAAATAATACCACCCCTTGTCTTTTCTACTACCCCCCTTTAGAACAAAAAGAAATTTAAACATATTTACGATTGGTACATTAACCCCTTGAGTTTGGCAATACACTAAAAACTCTATTGTTACCCTCATAGCATTGGGAGCTAATTGTGTCAACCCTATACTATAATCTAACAATAGACCCACAAGCAACTCAGGAATTGGAAACCTAAGCCCAATTTGCCAAATAATGAGCATACATGGGCATCCAATGATCTCGAGGTGCAAAACATGTCCTCTCCTCTACCCTAGCAGGCCTAATCAAAACTCAAGAAGAAATTTCATAACTTTCAACTAAATAACTCAGGCTATCCCTGGTCTCGAGCTCAGACTCATAGTGCTTCACCTCAAACATAATGTCCGCATCTACATCATAACACCTCTCATTCCTACCCTCCACTTCTACTACAGTAATGGGTACCCTATCTCCCTCTACCCCAACCATCTCACTTCTCCCTACCCCCTCCTCTGTCTTCTCCGAATCAGACGACTCACTGGTCATACCCACGTCGCCATATTCCAATGCCCTCACTTCCTCACTTCCCACAACGCTCACCGTTTCTTTAGAAGACATCTCTTCAAAGTTCATAACTTTCACTGCATGGAGTAAAGAGGGGGGAAGGAGAAAATGAAATCAGGATCTTCAGAAATTCTAACTCACACTCACCGTTACTCTGACTCCTAAACCTAACTCCCTTCAAAAGACTTAGATCTAATCAGAAAGGATGAGAGTAGAAGAAAACACACTCCAAAATCTAAATCACCAAAACTCATACGTTACCTGATCTCGGTCTTGAACGATTGATGTAAAAGTCCACAAAGGATGCAGCAGTTCAAACGCAGGAAAAACACAGTAAAGTTTTGGCAACAATTTCGTGGAAAACGTAGCAAAAGTAAAACTCTTTTTACATAAATATGGCTATATATACCACAAAGCAAAAGTATATCTCAACAGTTGTGATTAATTTAATCTGACGATCATAATTCACACCGTTTCGAATTCAATAATTAAACCCTAATGGGAACTTTTCGAATTTGCTGGTTTGTTTTCCATTCTGTCTGTTTAACTATAGTAGTTACTTTTTTTAGCCCGTATTTATTGTACACGTCTTTCAACAGACAACTGTCACGTCACATACCCACCCAACGTCAGACCTTTTAAACGGGCCCAATTAAACCCAACTCAACACTTTTGTTCACTTTCACAATAATATTTTTCAATTTTACAAAGTATTTCACCTCGGCTTCGGCCATAGTGACCCCGTGTCACATATTTTACTACGGCTCCGGCCACAATGACTCTGGTCATTACTTTTTACTACGGCTCCGGCCACAATGACTCCGGTCATTACTTTTTACTTCTACTCCAGCCACAATGACTCCGGTCATCACTTTTTACTACGGCTCTGGCTACAATGACTCCAGTCATTAGTCTAGCCATTGTAATCTCGTGCCATATTTTATTTCGGATATGGCCACAATGACCCCGTGTCACATATTCTACTTTAATTACGGCCATACACGAATTTGAGTCGCCAATTCCCATTTTAATTATAACTCTAGTAATTCATCTCTAATATTTTTTCATTCTTCTTTTCACCTAATTATACACTACTCCCATCACCT